GATCTTCTTCGGATCAAGTTTCCATCCCTATGTATGACTGACTAGTTTACTCAAAATAATTCACGGTTTTATCGTTTCGTACGGAAATATTGCACATAACCAAAAAAAAACATAGAATGAAAAACAATATTATTTTGTGGCTTAATTCACGGTTATTTTGTATATAAATTTAAAAAATATTTTATCTTAGTTTATTTTGATTTTCGATTGCAGTGCATTTTTTCGTTATTTTATTTTATTTTTTAAAAATAGTTATTTTTTTTTAAAAAAAAAATTTGTTATTGTTATGTTCCATTTTGATTAACTTATTTTGAAAAAAGTATACGAAATTAATTTTAAAAATGTAGAAGGCTAGCTAAAATAAATATTATTGGGTTTAGATATTATTAGTTTTTTTTATTGGGACGTATATTTGATTTCGGAGTCATCCAAAGTCAAGTCGTTACTCTTTCCAACCGCATAGAAATTAAATAATTAATTTCCATCTTATTATTCTCGGCATATTAATAAATACATTGTAAATATTTTATTGATGATCCCTGCATGCTCATATCGGTCGTGATATGATATGATAGCTATGGAGATATAATTATTTTTTGGCTGAAAAAAGTTATTTATTTTGTGTGTATAATTAGCTCAGGAGATTACGTCAAAGGGCTGCAATTTGAAAGTCACATCCCAAAAAAACTTAATAACAGGACTTTGTGATAAAGTTAATAATAATAATAATAATAATACCCGTTTGGTCAGTAATTATTATAATTGTGAAATTAACTTGTGATTTATCACCCAATTAGACATAATAATAATTCCCCATCACTTGGTATTCTCTCCTTGCGGTGGTTATTAGAATTGGTTTTAGTGTGAAAGTGTCGATCGGTCGGACCCGGTCTGATCCGAATCCACAATCGATCCGAAAATTTCGGGTTTAGATTCGGATTGATCCGAATTATTTCGGGTTTAATATCCGAAGTTTGATCCAGTATATCTTGGATTCGGACCGATCCACTAAAATATATTTTAAAATGTCAAATTTATGTGTTTAGTGTTTATTTTTTGAAACAAAATAATAAATCGGATTTTCGAACCAATCTAAAACCCATCGAACTGAGCCACATAAAGTTCAAACCCAATTTAGACTTGATCCGAAAATCCAAAATTTTTCGGATCAATACTTTTAAACTCGAAATCTGATCTTTTTCGAGTGTGAATTTAGATCGCATTTCAAACTTGAAAATATCCATATATTAATATCTTTACAATCTTATTTTAAAATCAGGAATTTGAATACATCCCATTTTTTCCATATCGAAATTTTGGTTGTTTATCCATCTACGAAATGACAAGAATTCAATTTTCGATTTTGAATTTAAAGATCAGTAGATGAAAATCTATATCTATAAATATTTATCGTATGAAATGCGTCAAAATTAGATTCATTTGCTCCAATCTTCTCCAAACTGAATAATCTATAAATATCCCAACAAAATGACGTATTTTATGAATATCCAAACAATACGAATGCGACAAATTCCAAATCATAAAACCGAAAAACACAGAATGAGAAATCCAATAGAAATCGTGTGTATCCAACCCGCCGGCTCTGATTATACTGTTGTTACATTTTTTTTAAAATATAATTTGCTAATAATGCCCGTTATTTGAAATATAATATAGATTATATATGTAATGTACTTACATTCTGGTAAATACGATGGGACCCACAGCATTTTGGTGGGAACAAGAGAGGACAAACTAAAGAAGCTCTCTCTCTCTCTAAGAGTAATGAATCATAACCCATCATCGTCGTCGTTGTCACCAACTTCTTCATCATCGTCTATGGAATTCCCCGAAACTAACCTTCCTTTTCCCTCGTCTTCCCCTCCAGATCCCTAAATTACTGGGATCCCCCCCCCCTTTTTTTCCTTTTTTTTTTTCATTGTTCTTATTTGGGTTTCTCAGAATTTCCCCTCTCGGTTTCGAAGTTGTCCGAATTCTTCATCTTTCTCGCTCTCGATTGTTGTGTTACATATCGTTTCTCTGCTTCTTTTGGAGTCTCTCTTACAGGAACCCTAATCTGTCGCCTATTCCCCACCCACCGACTTCTTCCCCTTCCTGGCCCATCCTACGTCAGCTCTAGGGTTCCTTTTTCTTTTCTTCCTTTTGGGATTTTTGATATCTTTTTTCCTCTTTTCGTGATTTATTTAGTTTGATCCTTTAGGTTTTGCTTGCCCGATCTCGCTTTTGCTTCCTTCCTTATCTATCTCCCTCTCTTCGGAGACAGACCCTGATAAACCCTAGAGTCTCCTGTTTCAATTCGATGGATTCTGGGTTTTCCTCCTCATGTACTTGGGCCTGATCTGGGTTTAATCGTTGAAATATGTCTAGGGTTTACTGGGTCACGTTTAGTATCACTTAGAATCGGTCCTTAATCCCACAATTCATCTCCTTTCCTCCTTTCTTCGGATCAAGTTTCCATTTTTCCTCTCTCTCGCTCGGGTTCGATCATGGCGTATCAGTCGGTTACGGGTTCGGGTTCGGGGTTCCATTACCTGAATTCCCCTTTTGGGGACACCACTTTTACCAAGGTCTTCGTGGGCGGTCTTGCTTGGGAGACACAAAGCGAAACCCTTCGCCGCCATTTCGAACAGTACGGTGAGATCCTCGAAGCTGTCGTCATTACCGACAAGAACAGTGGCCGATCCAAAGGTTACGGCTTTGTGAGTATCCTGTTTCTTTTGGATCTATTCTCGCCTTTGTGTTGTAGACCGGATGAGTTGTTGGTTGTTCCTGCTTGTATCTACGTCCTCTACTTTTCCAATGCGTAGATAAGAGAGCTAAATGGCAATTTAGAACTATAATGACAATGGCAATCCTTAAATCAGAGTTAGAACCTGATGATTAGAGATTGGAGATTCTAGCTTTATCGGGGCAATCCTACACCCAAGAATGGCTCATTAGACTTGTGATCCATTGTTAAACTCTGTTGAGATAATGAAGAATGACTCATTGGTTTTGCTTATATTTTGTATGGAGGATTTAGGTGACATTTCGTGATCCAGAGTCTGCAAGGAGAGCATGCGCGGATCCGACTCCGATCATAGATGGTAGACGTGCCAATTGCAATCTCGCTTCCCTTGGAAGACCTCGGCCTCATCTCCCCTTTGCAGTAATGCCCACTTTACCTGGTTAGTCTCTCTTCAATATTAGTTCTTACCCTTTTCTTGGTCTGGGACCTATTAAGACTGTCTTTCTTTGATAAAATGTTCCATCTTTTCTCTTGAATAGGACGATTAAGACCTGCTTCCCCATATGTGGGAGGTGTGCAGGGTCCTCGTGGTCCGTTTGTTGGAAATTTTCAGTATCAGCAACCACTTCCGTATAGCTACCAGCAGGGAGTTTTGTACCCTTACGGGTGAGTCTTGTCGTTTTGAAGTTAACATATATAGTGCACTTTTAAGAATGTTTATTGCGGTTTACTTGCTTTCCTTGAGATGGATTTTGGTGGACATTATAATTTGTAGTGTTCGTCTTTGCTCTATTAGCTGAATAATGTTTGCAATGATTTGTTGAATTTGTACAACCCTTCTTTCCCCCGGTATGTTTGCTTGACATTTGACGTGGGATGAAGGGATCATCAGTTGGATTTTGGATATGGAATTGCCGTGTATGACAGTTTGCGTATGATCCTGTGGTGCTAGTTAGTATCAACTTAATAGGTTCTTTCGATTCATGTCATCCCAAAGGTGGAAGCTTGTGCCAGTCACCTCCATCAATTGGCATTTACCAATCACAGCATGGAGTATCACTTAGGAGATTCTAACTGGTTTAGGAGTCTATCGTTGTTTACTGCCCCTTAGGATTTTTGAGTATAGCCGTGTGATGTGACATGTTGTGATTGGTAATCTTGCAGGAATACAAAAAATATTGCCGAGGATATGATGCCCAACTCAATGTTTTGTGAAGATGCAAGGTCATGAAATGTTTTTGGACTTTGATTAGACAAATTAGGTTAAAACTAGAGAGAGAAACATACAGGGATTTGTTTTTTGTGCTTGTTCTCGTAGGTTATGACCTTTGTTCGATGATAGGCTAATGTCGTAGAAATGCCGTCCTTCTTCTTTACATCTTTCCGAGACATAGTAGCCCATATTCTGCTAATATTTCTGACTTTAGTCTCGTTTTTTTCCTCGCAGGATTGCAGCATACGGTCCAGATTACATGTACTCACAGGTTGGAAATTATGGTTCCTTATTGTTTTCTCAATATATCTGACTGGCTTGTAACATTTTAGTTATGACCGTTGTCTTCTCATGTTATGTTAGGGCATATATGGTCCTTACATGGGCCAACAGTACCTTCAGGTCTATGGAGTTCCTGGAACGTGATGAAATATTTTTGGATTCGTTTATTATACCAATCTGATCAAATATTGGGGAAGGGAGGGAGGGGGATAATGGAATGGATTTCAGTGCTTGTTCATGTATTATTACCCCTTGTTCGATGGACAGATGTACGGTGGCCAATGTTGTAGAAACAATGATCTTCTTCTCTATGTCAAAGCCAAATTTCTACTATCGATTTTGAGTTCAATCTTTTTTTTTCCCCTGCAGGATGGCGGCATATGGGCCAGATTATATGTACTCACAGGTTGAAGATTTGCAGTTTCACTAGTGTTTTCTCCATATACTGTAGTCTGTCTTGTAGCTTATTGTTTTGGGTCATGTCGTCTTATGTTGTTGTCTCAGGGCATGTATGGTCCTTACATGGGTCAGCAGTACCTTCAGGTCTATGGAGTGCCTGGGACTGTTAACACGCCGGTTTATCCTTACGGGCAGTTGAGTCAGACTGTTCCCGGTGGTCACGGTTATACAGCAGTTCAGGGATATACGGTTCCCGGAAGTCATCTTTTGCAGCTTGGTGGTTCCAGTATCAGTGCAATGGGCACTTCTCCTATGCCTGCTGTTCAATCTCCATTTCCCCAAGGTGCATTTTTACCGTCTTTTTCGTCATCATTTTACTCGTTTTTATGTGAAACTTCAAAATATCAGCACTACACCTATTTTCATTACGTGGTGAAGAGAAAGCTGATGTTAAAATATAGACACTTGTATGAGGTTTTTTCTCTTATTTTTTGCATATCCAACTAGTATGAAACAAAGTGATTTTTGTAGGGAGAAGCTTTATGTCCTTATTTATTGGGTATCCCTGTCTAATCATTCAAAGTATACAACCTTGTATGAGAGACTGAATGCGAAGATTGTTTAGATAGATTTCTTGTGCCTTATTTGCTTTAGAAGGACTAGTTATAGCTGCTAGAGCCAAGGAGCTCAAAGATCAAGTTGCGAAGAAGATATAGTCGAAAGTTATGAGCAAGTCCAATGAGTCCCTTTTCTCTTTCTCATTTGTGTGTAGGTATGCCAGGGCCTGGACCAGCACAACCCCATATCATTGTCCAGGCTCCTCAGTTTATGCAGAGTAGCGGGTCTGACCAAACAACCGGGTGAAAATCGATCGACGTAAGTATATGCTATTTCGGATAAATTGTCGGGGTGATTGTATGCACATTTTGTAAATTATATTTTCTTGGATGGTATCATCTGTTTCAGTTATACTGAAAGACTGCAGAAAAGGAAGTTAAGGGCGAGGAACTGCTACTTGAGGTGGCGGGCTTCGTATTTAAGCCTTGCAAATTATTCATCTTGCATTCTAGAGGTATGTGTTTTTCATAATCAATCATTTGTCTCGGGGGCTTGCCCTTCAGTTTCTTTCAGCCAAAAACAGTGAAAACGTTCTTGATCACCGAAATTCCTTGGATTTGACTGAGTAGTAGTTGGGGTTATCACTGTACAGGTCGTAAGTAGTCTTGCTCACCGGAGAAGTCAAAAGGTCTGAGTTGCTCTCGGGAAGGCAGAAAAGGAAAAAGAAGACAACGGAAGTTTGCTGGGTTTGTGCTTCCTGTTTTCTACCCCCTCGTGTTTATATCTAAAACAGAAACAGATGCTGCTCTGGCTCAGGTTGAGTCGCAGGCAGTCGTAGTGGTTATCCGGGAATAAGGTTTCCCGGAACAACCACAAGGAATAAGTTGGTGTACAAAAATGCATATAATCATACACATGCGTACTCGTGGATGGTAGAATCAACGTACGATTCTTTTGTAGTCTAATAGTCGCACGGCTCTTCAGGCATTCGGGTCTGTAGAAGATGGTGTCATCTGAGTCAAGCATTGTAAAGTAAACGCCATCACCTCGTAGCTGCTTCTGATGTGCATATTAGTTTCTAGGGTTCTTTTTTCGTGTTGTTACAGTTTGACAATGGATGAATTGTTATGTGGAGCTTCACTCCAAAGTATGGAGGTGGCTGCTTCTTTACATGTTTGATTCTCGGATCCAGATGAAAAGGATTTGGTCTTGTATCATTGCCTCTTGTCAGTAGGAGACCCTGTTTGGCATTGGTTTAATAGTCAGATTCATCATTCTTGAACTGTAAGAGTCTGGGGGATTGTTATGTCCACAAGAGAAAGTGTCAGAAGCTGGCAATTACTACAGAAACATGCAATGATTGAGACAGGAGCAGGCAAAGGGATGTTGCCATTCCGATTGCAGAGTTCAGATGCCCGTGAGTTTCTCTCGGGTTCATCGGTTCATCAAAGTAAACACTGGAATGAACCAATGAATTTGCAGAGAACTGCAAGACTGGATGGAAGCAACTCCAGAATGACGACTGATGGCTAACCATCCATTCCAAGCAAGCGTCTTCTGGGTAGAACCCCAAGTTTCGTTAAGATTCATCAATGGTTGTCTCCTTCGAGTTTCGTTGACAAAGTCTGAAACTGGGAATCGTGTTCTGCCCCCATTTGTTTCACAATATCTGTGAAAAAAGGAAGCAACTTTACCAGTTTCGGAGCAAACCCAGAAAGAGAAATTTCGTTAAAAACTCTGGAATCGGTCCAAATCGTTGTGACAGTTGAAAACCTGGAGAGAATAAAAAGGGCCGGAGATGATGAACGGACAAAACTAGGGTAATAGTGATGTCATGTCCGTTACTATATATAATATTTTTTTTTAGTTTAAGGAGATGATTTTGTACTTAATTAATGTGTAGTTAGTTAGTTATACACGAATTCCATCAATGAAAGGACTCATTGAATAGATAACGTGACCATATATATATCTTGCAATGCATATAGACTCTTTTGCCAACTGAATCTTGAAATGGATGAATGTTTTTTACTTGACCAAGGAATCAAAATCTTGTACGTGTGAGTGCACCTTTCTTGAAAATAAAGGATTTTTACTCTATAATTTAAAAATATATATATATAATAACGTTTTTGATAAACTTTAAATATAACGTTTTAAAAAAATTATTATATTTAAAAGTTGTTCTGAATATATGCGCCGGAGACCCTTCAACCAATAGTTCGATCTTTACGTAGTTTCCGTTGCATTTTTGTTGGATTTCAACCCCAAGTCCTATTAATTTTACAGTATGGTCATGAATTTCGACCGACGTATATTATGCCATTTAAAAATAACGTAATAAATCTTTTAAAAAAAAATAACGTGATGAATGAAAAGAGGCATATATGTGCGTGCATATACATGAATTTTGCACTATTAAGCCACGAATTCGACCGACGCATATACACGCCATCATCGCTAGCTGTGTATATGCAAAACCCCAAAGAAATTTCACCTTTCGGTAACTCAACATAATCTTACATCATTTTCAATATAAATATATATGTATTTTCACGTAAAGCTTTAATTATGGTTATAATATGAAAGAAGCCGACTTAGGGTTTATTTAAATACAGAACCAATTCATTCATAAACCCTTCAAAGTTCAAACCACAAAAACAATGGCATTTCTCATGAAACCAATATTGTTCATCATATTGTATAACTCTCTCCTCGTAACGACGGTCTCAGAATACGTTCTCATTGATGATGATTTTATCGTGCCCTCTCCGAAAAGCGTTCAAGGGCTCAAGAGGAAGAAAACGGTAACGATAATTAACAATCTTGGAGGCGGTTTAACGTTACGATACCATTGTAAATCGGGGGACGATGATCTCGGGGATCGGGTTTTAGGGCCGGGAGGGTCGTGGTGGTTCAGGTTCGAACCGAATTTCTTCGGTACGACTCTGTTTTACTGTTATTTCTCGTGGACCGGTTCGGGAGGCTGGTTCGACATTTATAAGGATAGTAGAGATAATGTTCCTAGTAAGAATTATTGTGATGAATGCAAGTGGAAGGTTAGGAAGACCGGACCGTGCAGATTCAATGGTAAGACGGAAAAGTTCGATCTTTGTTACGGTTGGAACAAATAAAATAAAATGTATTCATACATGTATTTGCAAAAGTATATAGCGTGTGGAATAATACGTTATTTTTCATGGAACGAAATAATATATATAACATAAGATATTGAATCGAAATAAAATGCTAATCTTATTAGGAAACTAAGACGAATGTTATTAGGACACTAATATTAATTCTATGAAAAATATAATTTCATAATATATAACTCTAATATATTCTCTATAATTTTCAACATAGTGTTTATGATATTTTGCAGATCATAAATTAGGAGATGTTTAATATAGGAAAATGTGTAATGATAAGTATATTAGCATATGGTGTGTAGACGTGTTGTCACGATGATTATGACATTAATGGAAATTCAAAATGGAAGAAAAAGTAATATTTTCGTTAAACGAACGATTTTCTTGTTATTATTTCAAATACGAGATACTTTGTACTTGCCCTAATTAATGTGTATTTACACACTAATCCCGTCAATGAAATTAGGCTCATTAAATAGATTAACGTTATGATCAGAAACTAATGAATATAGACTCTTGGTTTTCTTGAATCTTGACGATAAGCTTATTAACTCGTACTATCCATTTACATATTATATATATATATAATAAATTGTAACGTATATAGACTCTTGGGCAATGAATCTTGAACATATATAAGCTTATTAACTCGTATTATCAATTTATATCTTTAGTAAATTGCAATGATTATGTATATCAGTATATGAAAAGACACATAAATTGATAACGTATATCTTGCAATGTATATAGACTCTTGGTTAATTGAACCTTGTGAAAGCAAAAGCTTATTAACTCCGTACTATCAATTATTAAAATATATAATAAATTGCAAATATATGTATATATATACACGGAACCAAATCCACAAAATCAATACATACACACACTCTTCGACAGCAAAAAAAAAAATGGCTTTCCCCAAGAGGCAAATAGCGTTCTTCCTAGTGTGCTTATCCGTCTCCGCCATGGCGTCATCGAGCGCACGTAATGACGTCACCCCAGTTCCACCGAACAACGTGCAAGGCCTGATCAAGGAGATGAAGACGGTGGCGATAGTGAACGGGCTGGGAAAAGGGCTGACGTTGAAATACCATTGCAGGTCGAAAGACGACGACCTCGGCTACCGGACCATGGGTCCGAGAGAGGCGTGGTCGTTCCAGTTCAGGCCGAACATCTTCGGGACGACACTCTTCTTCTGCCGGTTCTGGTGGTCGGGCAACAGCAAGGTACACTGGTTCGATATTTTTAGGAGCAGTAGAGACGACGAGGAAAGCCCTTGCACTGTCTGTTGGTGGAGGATAACGAGGTTCGGTCCGTGCAAGTTCAATGACGGGGTTAGGGAGTATGATCTTTGTTATGAATGGGATAAAAAAATTTAAATGATTATATTTATATATATTATGTGATCGTAGTTTGAATTTTTATATATAGCTCCGTTTATGTCGTGAAATAATGACATATGACACATGGTTTTGATTATGTATATACGTGGTGTGTATGTAGCTATAGATTTCGGTTCCTAATAGGTCGAGTAAACGATATCCAAAAATATGTATTCTGGCCCTCTGGTATTATGGAATGGTTATGGAACGAATTTTTAGAACCGATTAATTGTTAATTTATAGTTTTAGGAGAATTTATGGATTAAAATTTCATATATTTTACATAGTATAGCATTTCATATTTTCATCTATATAAGGACACGTTACTTATATTATTGTACATTAGTAATAAAAGTTGGAGAAGGATATTATTTGAGATAATAAAAATAATAATTTAGGTTTAATACTTTTTGTAAATATAGTAGGTAAAGTAAATTATAATTGACAAATATAATTGTCTAAAATATAAAAATAATATTAAATCTGAATATATGGTAATATTGATTTATTTTCTAGAAATTTGTCTTCACAATCATATCATAGCTAATCCCTGCTATAACTGCATATGCCACCATACAGCTTATTCAACCATATAATTTGCACTATTTTCAAACTCAAAATAAATAGCAATATCATAAAATACTTTTGGAAAATTTAAAGATAATTTGGAAATGGAGTTTGAATTTAGCTTTAATGTCCTTAATTCTATATTGAGAAATAAAGGTTGATTGCCAATGTGCCCGGTTTGGAATTTTTCCGGTTTAATTTTAGTTGCTGGCTTGAATTTTATAGTTCTTTGAAGTGAGGAACCAAACTCAGTTCATCTCTAAGACCGCGAGGAACAGAACAGCATTGACACAAAGCTAGTTAAGTAGATTAGACTGCATACTTTTAACTAGTGTCATTGTTCTTTCTTAGAGCCTCGGCCTCGGCTATCGCCATTGGATCATCAGCCTTAATCTCTGCATCGTCTTCTTTCTCGCCTTCTCGTTCTTGCGCCAGCTTCTTCCTGTGCAGCTCCTCGGCAGCCAGCATTGCCGCTTTGTTCTCGGCTTGGATCCTCTGCATTTCCTGCTCTTGCTGCTGCCTCTCAAACCACGTATCTGCATCTGCCCATACTGAAAAAAAACAACGCCCGAATAGCCGATGGTTTAGATAATCCGAGAGATTCATTTTTTGGTGGAATTGAACTGAGTGATTAGATCTATCCTTACTAGTCAAGATCCTAATAACCAAACCCTATACACAAAGCCTGTAATTTCAGTAGCCAAAGTAACAATTTTGTCGCATCTCCGAGACATAGAAGGCAAACCATCACAGAAGCTTCTTAACCCCTAAACCCTAATCGATCTATTGGACTACTACTTCTTCGTTCATGCATAAATCATGGGAATGACTAACTATCAGTTCACATATAATGAGTGGCTAGATCCATCCTTGCTAGTCAAGAACCTAATAACCAACCTTATGCAGAAAGCCTGTAATCTCAGTAGCCAAAGTAACGATTTTATTGCGTCTCCAATACATAGAAAGCAACCATCCATCACAGAAGCTTCTTAACCTTAAACCCTAATCCCTAATCGATCCATCCGACTACTACTTCCTTCGTGTATAAATCATGGGAATGACTATCAGTTCACATAGTGAAATCCATTCTACAATCCAGATGTTGAATACAATAATCTGTTAGCAAATAACAATGTGGAGCATCAACTAAGTCACACAAAGCCAATAACTTGAATACCAACAGTGTATCTACGAAGCAATAACCTAGCTTCAGAACCCATGAATCCCAGTATGGGGGAGCTCAGAAACCCTAGATTCCTCAGAAACACTCCAATTTCAAACCCACTCATCTAGAAACCTCGATTCGTAACAGTAATCAGAAACTGAGGTCACCAAAATCATCATTCAATTCACTTCAATAACTTGAGTATCCGTGAATTTCAATCATATGCATTCAGAAACCCTTGATTCCCCCCGCCAAAAAAAAAAAACAAATCCCCAACAGCAATAATCATCGAAGTAAACCGAATCGAAAAGGTGATCAAAATTGAAACGAGAGAAACAGAGAGGGGGATCAGAACACGTACGTGGATGAGCGGCCCAACCCTGTTCACCACCCTTGATTTTTTCGGGGAGGGCATAGTTAACGGTGAGAACGCGGCCATAGAGCTCCGCACCATCCATGTTATCCATGGCGGATGAGGCGTCCTCTCTCTCGAGGAAGGTGACGAATCCGAAGGACCTATGCTTCTGCGTCGCTTGGTCCAATGGCGTCTTCACATCCTTGATGTCTCCGAAAGGTATGAAAGCCGCGTGAAGGATCGATTCGTTCACCTCATCCGCAAGACCTCCCACGTACAACGTGTTCTTCTGCATCGCCTGCTGCTGAGCCGCCGCCGCCGCCGCCATTGTCGAGAGCTTCACGCCTCTCTCTCACACCCTCTCGAGCTTTCTTTTCTCTGGAGACAACAATGGAGAAGACGACGGCGTTTCGTTTATGGTTTCTTCCAATTTTTTTTTTTACTTTCTGATACTTGTGGGCCGTTCTGAAAAGCCCAAAAGGTTTTTATATATATATAAAAAAATCGGCCTGTTTTGTACCGATTAAACCGGGTTTTTTTAATGAAATGTTAATTAAATCATAAACCTATTTTTTTCTACACTAATCATATTGTCTTTTAGCCAAACTGTTACTTAGAATTGTAGAAACCATATCCTTAATGATGGATAACCAGTCTAGACCTTTTTGAGACATTTCTTTAGATGCATTTTTTTTAATTAAATAAGGTTTGAATATATATATGTTAGTATTTCTTTTTTCTTTTTAATCTAATAAATGATATATTTAATCCATAAATCACTATATACAGAATTCTACTTCTACTTGCGTTATGAAAATCTTCATCCACATCTAGAATTCTAGCATCAGTGAATTAGTAAGCCAAACTCCGTGTATGAACGTATTGCATCCGATATTGCTGTCAATGGCGGACCTAAAGAAATGTATCATTGGGGACATTTTTTTTATTATAAACAAATTTAATTTATGGGGGTATTTTAGAGTTTTATTCAAAATTTTACATAATTTCTATATAAAAAAATAAACTTTTTTATTGATTAAATGGGGGCATGTAATAAAAATATATGTGCTTATTTGCCACCATGCTACAATTCCAAAGCCCAAAAGACTCGGTTTTTTTACTGTTATTTTCTCGTGGACCGGAATAGACTGTTTTGTGTCTCTTTAGCCGGGTGAGACCAAGAACTTTTATATTTGCTATGGTTGGAATAAATAAAAGTCAATAATATGTCATTGAAGTTTTTTTAACCGAATGTATTGGACCAAGATTCAGATTAATTTTGAGATTGAAACCAACCATGCATATGATTTGGAATATACGTTTTCTCTTTAAATTTAAGGTTCGAATTTGGGATGGAATATACGTTTTGCGCCCCGTTTAACCGGTTGAACTATCCAAATTTGCTTAATATATCATTGATGTTGTAACGCACTTTCAGTTTAATACAAAAAAGAAAGAAGATATTATAAATATGGGCATTCCAATCCGCTTTCCATTGAAATTAAGCTAATTAAAACCGATCTGTAAATTAAAAAAAAAAGCCTTATAATCCACGGAGAACCCTTAATAACAATCTATTGATTAAAGGCCAAAAATAAGGGGGAAATTTTAAAACGTGTGAGAAGTGATGATCAGAAGAAATTGAAAGGAGTGAATCTGAAGGCGGAATGATACGTAGGAGTGACGTAAGCAGAGAGAAGCTCGTTGTGAGGAGACCAGAACTCAGCTTTGAGACCGCTTCTTCTCACTGCTCTCAAGATCTTGTTTCTGTGTATGTATGATGTTACCATTACCTTTTGACTGTCTGCATCCACTTCCACTTTCTCTATTCCTGCCAAAAATATATATAGTATTCACATTTATTTATTTATTTATCTATGTATATACATATCGTATGTCTCCCGAATCAACCATATTTTTTGAATTAGATTCAGGAAATTCGATTTCGACAAATAACGGATCGAACGAATCAGTTTATCTCGACTCAGTTCGACGAGTTCATGAGTTTTCTTGTATGTCAGTTTTTTTAATTTTTACATAGTTTTTATTATTCTACATAGTTTTTTAATATTTTAATTATTTTTAAATAATTTTTATTATTTTCAAATATTTTATTATATTTTTTATTTTATTTGGTATACAAAACCACCTCACGAGATAGTGCGATCTGAGCAAATTCGAGATTTTTCAAATTCGTGAAAAATGAATTACAAAGATATGGGATCAAAACGAGGTGGTTCACACTTATTCGGACTGAGTTAGGCCGAACCAACCCATTTTACATCACGTAAACGACTATAGACAAATATATTATCGTCATGATATGATCAACGAATAGATAACACTTAAATAAAACGATTAGCACTTGTTTAAAAAAAATGAGTATTATTGGAGAAGATATATATGTATTTGATGATTATATATAATATATTAATAACAAGAGTTTGTATGAAACAAAGATGAATGTAGGTAATTTAGGGTAAGAAGAAGGATTTTGTGTACCTTTGAGTTTTGAGAGGGATTTTCTCAATCTCTTCTCGTGGATACATACCATCTCCACTTTCAATTCGACGGTCTATACAAAAAAAAAACGAATCAACTTAATGGACATTGTGAATCCATGCAAAAAATCGTGTATATATCTTGAATATATATACAAAGCCAATCAATGTTAGTGCATATAAATACCTCCATTCAAGAATGTCAATCTTGATGTATATATATGTTGTGTGTATATATATATGTATGTAAATATTGTTGTGAAGGAGAAGAACGAAGAAGAGAAAAAAAAAATTAAACAACTTAGGACTATATGTGTGGGAGAGGCTATAGGCTTGGAGCGTATATATAGCGATGGAGACATTAAGCATAAGCAAAACAGATCTTGTGGGGTCCCTCTCTGTCTCTTGCGACTATAATCATATTCTTTTTTTTTTAATGTGAATAAATTAATCATATTCTTTGCTTTTGGCAAAGAGGACAAGACACGATACTCGATGTAAATTCCGTCTTGACGTAGAATCTCATAAAAAAAAATTATATTATATATACGTGACTATTCATATATATGCAACACATGAATCATTTCCGTACGTTATGTGTATTTATTACCAAGCCTATTCTTATATATTCTTACTGTTTATCATGTCTACTTTTTTTTATAATATGAAAGTGGTCAAATTATATCTTCTAAAAAATCGAGAAAGTTCAGATAAATACTATACTCTACGTTTAGATTTAAATTTGGGATAAAAGAATGTTTTGTATATTTTTTTTTTACCATTAGGTCATCCAATTTTGAGTTAATCATATTTAAAATTGGAGTAGAAACCATAATCGATTAATTTAGAAAAATCATATCAAGAACCTGAATCAATATTTTGAAAAAAAAGAATTGATGATTGATGAGTGAATATTCGAATTTATATTCCATCGGTTTTTATATTCAATTTTACTCTAATTCGTTTCTCATTAAAAAATAAATAAATAAATGATCCTTATCTTTTATTTAGTATTTTCAGGTATTTTCATCAATTTAATTAATAAAAATAGGTTTACATATTTTTAGGTTACATTCTATATAAATAAAATTAAATATGATTAGATTCGAATTATTTCGATGTTGTATATTCAAAATGTATTCCCCACTTCAAATAAATCCAAAATCTTAATCCCTTGAAATAAATTAAAAAATCAAGAAAACAAAAAGCTTTATCTTAGTTCAAGAATCTCTAAGGATCACTCGAAAGTACATAAGGCGATGCCCAATGATTGGGCTTTTGACTGGTCAAACCATCGTTATAGGATGATATAAGATCACGACAAAACGTCCAACGCAGTTTTCTGTCCGTTATTACCATAATTTATTTATTTTTTTAAAAACTTATTTGTTAAGTAAATATATAAAATGACAAAAAAAAAGGCAAAAGAAGATTGGAAACTTGTGTGTGTGGACCAAAGAGATGCCAACAGATCTCTAAACAAGTTTGGTATATATATATATATGTCTACGACACATCAAACTTTCTCCAAATAAATCATATATAAATATTACATATTTAAATTTCAAGACATTAGTCCTTATTTTAAAGATTTGTTTTATAGTCAAAATGTATTTTCTGTATCTCAAAAAATAAAAAATAAAATCCCATATTTCGTTTTCTACTTGAACCGAATGTAGTAAGTGTGCTACACGCAAAGACAAACAATTAATACCGTGATTAAGGAAAACATAATCATTTGTCATATATATACACATTAGGGTGTTAATTTTGGTCTGAGATGCGAAGTTTGATCCGATCCAATTTAAAAAATAACGGGTTTCGTGTATAAATATTTCGATTCGAAAAGTCTAGATTTTGTTTTTAAAAAAATAAAAAGTAAAAAAATATATTTCAAAGAATAAATTTAGTGGACCGATTCGATCCGAATCTAAATCCAAATCTGAAGTTTATAAGATCGGGTTTCGAATTTAATTGTTTAGACCTGAAAAAATCGGATCGCCTCTAAACCCGAATACAAAACCTTTGGACCGAATAATCCGATACGAACCCTATTGATCCCCCTAATATACACATAATTATCATTAGATAAAAGGGAAATGAAAATTAGTGGATGTCCGACAAAACTGAATCCGAGGTGGTCGGGCTTCAGCACAGGGATCAAGAGAACTGCTTCGGAATCTGCAACTTCTCGAATTTTCATTCTTTCAGTTCATTTTCATCTTTTATTTTATTTTTTATTAATGAATTTGTTTCGCCGCTTGTTCCCGATTTTCTTACAATCTGCTCGTTTCTTTTTCTTTTCTTCACTTTTTTCGCCTTTTCTTTTTACCGTTTTCTTTAATATTAACTAATTTATGGAATTCGGATTTATCGATTTGGTTAACCGTGAAATTAAATTAAATTAAATTATATAGATTCACATAATTTCCATAATTTTTCCCTTCTAAATTAATTATATATTTAAATCGTTTCTCTTATTAAAAAAATTTATCATTTCGTTGAAAAAGTTAAATCGGTTGGAAAATATGTTCATACAGAGGTATTTGGGCTTTGCGAGGCCCAATATCTGTTATGAGAAGCAGGCACGTGCTTGTCCAGGTGGCAAGTGACTAAGCACCGAATGATTTATGTGGGTCCCACTCTAATCCACATCACCATCTTTGCCCTCACACCGAATTCGTGCTCCTCCTCCTCGTTCTCCTGCTGA